AGTCACGGCTTCCAAACAGGATTCCATTTTCAAAAGGAAGCATCAGCTTTGCCCTCTCACTCCATCTGTGCCTTCTGTACCCCATCCCTCCAAATGCTGGCTGAGCCCCGTGAAGCTTTGTATAATGGAGAAGGAAAACTATTGATTTAATTTCATATGCTCAATTTACAGATATGGAGTCTGAGGCTGAAAGAACCAGTGAGATGATGTGAGCAAAATCACAGAACTATTTCTTTGATTTGGGTCCATATAACTATCATGACAGTGACAGATCATCCATTCATCAAGGACAATGGGAGAATTTTCCCTTGGAACTTGGTAGATACAATGTAAAGACAGTTTGAACACAGCTGACAGAAAATAATGGCAGAGGCAGTGTGGTCTGAAGGTGCTGACAGCATTGAGACTTAAGAGCTCATCATCTGTCACCAGCCCTGATCTCAGTCCATGACACAATCTCGGGCCAGTCATTTGGCAACACAGCACTATTGCTTGCTTTCCTGGTCCCTAATTCAAAGAGAAACGCATCTGTATAATCACTTTTTGAAGTACTTGGAATCTGGGCATGAAAGCCTCAGTTTACATAAAAGGGCTTATTAATCTGAATGGCTGGTCACTCACTGAATCGACATCCAGGACAACTCCATGAAGCCCAAAGGTTTTCAGCATCCCTCGGATGGCAAATTTTGGCAGAGCAGTTCCAACAGTACTGCTGGCTACGTTATTGCTGTCCGGAGAGCGGGTTACTACCGTGAGACCTGAGGAGGGTAGAGGAAGAAGTTTTTTCAGGAGGAAGTACCATTATCATCTTGGGACCCTATATTTTAGAGCCCAAGTAGCTCTGCAGCCTTTAACAATACCCTCAGTTTTGTTATAACCAAAGAGGAACACAGCCCACTCTGGAAGATAATAAAACAAAATGTTGTAAAAACTCTTACAATTTAAGAATAAAAACACAAGCCATTTAAAAATGGGCAAAGGATTTGAGTAAGTGTTCCTACAAAGAGAAATGAACAGATACACAGGAAAAGACGTTTAACACCTTTAGTTATTAGGGAAATGCAAGCCAAAGCCATAATGAGATACTACTTTACACCCCTAAAATAGCTAAAATCAAAAAGACAGATGATAATAACAAGTGCTGGCAAGGATGTGGAGAAATTGAACCCTCATACATTGCTGGTGGGAATGTAAAATGGTGCAGTCACTTTGGAAATAGTTTGGTAGTTCCTCAAAAAGTTAAAAATGAAGTTATCATATGATGCAGCAATTCCACTCCTATGTATTTATACCCAAGAAATATGAAAACATGTATCTACACAAAAACATATACACAAATGTTCATAGCAGCATTATTCATAACAGCCAAAAAGTGGAAAGAAGTCAAATGTCTATCAATAGGTGAATAGATAAAATGTGGTCTATCCATACAATGGAAGATTATTTGGCCATAAAAAGAAATGAGGATATGAATGAATCTTGAAAAAATTATGCTAAGTGAAAGAAGCCAGACATAAAAGATCACATGTCTTTTCACATAGGATTCCATTCATATGAAACGCCCAGAACTGGAAAATCCACACAGAAAGTGGATCAGCGGGTCTCAGGGCTGGGGAGGGGGGCAGGGAAGAAATGGGGAGCGATGAGGTCACAGGATTTCTTTTTGGGGTAATGCAAAGGTGATGGTTTGATGGTCGCACAACTTTGTGAATATACTAAAAACCACTGAATTGTCTACTTTAAAAAGGTATTTTAGGGTATGTGAACTATATCTCAAAAGAAAAAAGGGAAAAGTAAATACATACTTCTTCCCCTGCCCATGATGTTCTGACAGCTTTGTGAAAGTCTTTTGGTAACTCTAAAAATGAGTGGCTTTAACTTCTCTTTTTTGTGCTTTTCTGTATTTTCCTCATTTCCCCAAAATATGCAATAGATTTTAATCAAAAGAATATATTGTGGGCTGGGCACAGTGGCTCAGATCTGCAATCCTAGCATTCCAGGAGGCCAAGGCAGGAGGATCCCTCGAGCTCAGGAGTTCGAGACCAGCCTGAGCAAGAGTGAGACCCCATCTCTACTAAAAATAGAAAAAAATTAGCCAGGCATCGTGATGGTGCATGCATGTAGTTCCAGCTACTCAGGAGGCTGAGGCAGGAGGATCACTGGAGCTCAGGAGTTTGAGCTTACAGTGAGCTAAGATGACGCCACTGCACTCTACCCAGGGCCACAGATTGAGACTCTGTCTCAAAAAAAAAAAAAAAAAATTCCATTAAAATTCTAAAAAGCCCAGTATAGCCACGTATATGTGGTTTATTACCTCAGAAGCCAAGACTAAGCCACAGAGAGGCCCACGTGGTATCTGCAGCCCAGCCTCACCCAGCTCATGCCGGTGAGCTGTGGGAAGTGGGAGAGGCCGTAAGAGGCCATATGTCTACTTGTGCTCCACAGGGGGTCAAGCCACTTAGAGTCACCCTAGGAGAGCCACAAGCTGCTTGTCTCATGTTTTAGAAAATTCAAGTTCTCATTTCACAGGAAATTGCAAAGGTGAAGTAAGGAGGAAAGCGAAACCTTTTCGAACTTTATCAATTGTGAACTTGTTTGCTTCATCTTTAATGTCTTCGATGGTGGGAAGATAAAGGTCTCTCGGGATGCCACCGTTCTCCTCATAAAGAAACTCAACCGTCTGCCTGGCAATATCCACCATGCCTGAAAAATACAACAGCCTGGGTGACTCTCCGAAGAGTACAGGATCTTCAGGTCAAACATTACACCAACTTGTATCTAGAATAAAAGGGTAAGAGACTCTTTCAAACGCCATTTATAGGAATACGTAGCCTTCTGGGGAAGGTAATTATGCACTGTCTACCAAGTTGAAAATACTAAATGCACTACTCCTAGGAATGTCTCAAATCTCTCCCACAGAAACACAAGCACTAGTTTGCAAAGTTACAAAAATGTAGTTCAGCACTGTTGGTAGATAATAATAAAGAAATGGAAATAACCAAAGTGTTCATCAATACGGAATGGCTAAAATGATGGTACATTATTATGCAGTCATTTTCATTTTAGTTAAAATAACTAAAGTACAAATGGAGAGGAAGAAGAAAGGGAGGGTGCTGTTCATTTCTTACTTTATACATTTTTGTACTGTGTTTGATTTCTACTATAATAAACACTTGTTGCTTATTTAAGAGAGGCAGAGAACTACATCAGCTTCTTCTGTCCACTACTGTGATTTGCTCTGTTCTTCCTTCCCAGAGGGACAACATATCACTATGTTTGATAGCAACAGGTGCTACTGATTAATAACCAAGAGCCGCATGAGCCGCCATACCTGGTTGTAGCAATTTTCTGAAAACAATATAAAAGGGGCTATAATTGGAGAAGGATGCTTTTGGAAAGAAGCATCAAAGGGAAATTAACGAGAAACTGTGGCCTGATATTAAAAGATTATGGAACAATAATCTTTGTAACATTTTCAAAAGGAATAGTGGGGATGAGAAAAAGAAAATACTGTTTAATAATCAGGGAGTAGTGGGAGACTGCCAAATTAAACTTCCAGAGCACAGGTTCCATTTTAAAGGTGAGGAATACAGACCAGGTACAGTGGCTCACGCCTGTAATCATAGCACTCTGGGAGACCGAGGTGGAAGGATGGCTTGAGCTCAGGAGTTCGAGACCAGCCTGAGCAAGAGCGAGACCCTGTCAAAAAGAAAAGAAAGAAAAGAAAGGAAAAGAAAAAGGAAAAGGAAAAGGAGAGAAAGAAGGAAGGAAGGAAGAAAAAAAGTATAAAGCTGAGGAAAACCCAGAGACACTGAGTAACCTTCTCAAGCCCATACGGCTGGTAAATAGCACATGTGACTTCAGATATGGCTGTTAACCACCAGGCCATAAAGTTTCCCATTATAACCACACCAGCTTCAGTACAGCAGCCCATCAACCCAAAACACTGAGTTAAATTAACAAGCAAATAAAAGCCCAGCCATGAAAGCAGAAGCCCACAGAGTTCACTAAAGGGACAGGTGGAGGACACTGGTAAACCTGGAGCAATGTAACATGAGCCCCTCTTTCCTGATTTACATCTTGATTTCCATCTATCCCATCTCTTCAAGTCATGACGTAAGCTCCTGACAACAAAGGGCACCAGACCTAGTTGTAGAGCACCCTTGATCTGGTCCAGGCCTGATTTCCGCTCTGCTTCGTTGCGGAAGCGTCTTCGGATGGTAGGAAAAACCTTGGTCTCCCATGCTTTCACCAGCAGGGCGTAGTGGTCCTCCTGGAAGGAGAAGGAACCTTCATGAGCAGAGCAGAACGCCTCACGCAGGCATCGCTCCATCCCTAACTTACAGTCCTCACCCCACTCCAATGCCAGGGACAGAAACACAAGGTGTGGACTCCTGCACTAGACACACCCACAGATGCCAGAGGAGGGAACAGCTAGAATGCGGCGAGCTCTTCCTTTCCCTCTAAAGAAGCCACAGAAACACTTTTCACAGGAGCTTACTGCTGAGTTACTATCAAAGCACTTCATTTCTCCAACACCTGGACCTCCACCGAGCAAAAGGGCCCAACCGATACCACTATTGATAGGGGCTTAGAAATTTGGACACTCCCGAGTCACTGTTTGAACACAATGACATAACTCAAAGTGTAACAAGGCCAGCCTTGTACCCTTATGTCAAAGTCATGCCTTGAGGCTTGTACCAGTCACCAGGGAGCTGAGCCAATGCTGCTAAATCCTAACCTACACCTGCAGGTCTATTACCTGCGGGATGTCATCATCGTCATCATCATCACTTTCGTCATCCGCAATGGGAGGCGGGTGAGGGTCTGGGCCAGAGGTGATGAAATTCTCATAGCTGAGCTCAACTTTGTAATGACAGGAAGTGTCACTATCGTATTCTGTAACAAGGCACAAGAAAAGTGAATTCTAAACAAGAGCAGGGAAGAAAAATCATTAACTTCTCACCCTTAGACGAACTGGATTCTCTTAATGTGTGTGATAGGAAGACTCCTAGTACACTGAGGAATTTTAAACAGAGTCAAGGATAACTAATCATCCATAATTACTCTGAATCCTACGATGGTTTTTTATGAGTATAATTCATGCAACTCAGAGAAGAATTTGGAAAGTTCTTCACTATGAGAAAGAACTACTAATAAACATACTCTTAAAATAGTTTGCAAACCAGAATCCCATGGGCCAAATACAGCCTAAAAACATTTTAAGTTTGGCCAGCTCAGTTATATTCAATTTTATTATAAAATAATTTGAATAATCAGAAAAGGTTTTAGTGCACACCTATATACCCACCACCTAGACTGTACAATTAGCATCTTATTATTCTTTGACTACCTCAATTTTTGCAAATGACTAACATTGTAAAATGAGGAGACTTCATACAAAATTCTGGGATTTTTAACTGCCTTACACCCTCCTGCTGGTGCTGAGGACTGGCAGGCTTCCTGCAAGTGGTAGTACAATTTCCAGTCCACCACACTTTCTCCTGCTCCCTGCGTTCTGTCACCCGGCCTGTTACCCCATTACCGATGGACTCTGGAGTTTGCAAACCCTGATTGTGACGAGGATGCCCAAGTTCAATGGATTTATGGAATTCATAGCATTCACGGTTCCAGAAGGAAGTGGCTTACGTTGCTGAGCAGTGGCCACAGCCGCAATCCGGCACGGTGGCCCATGGGTGCCCGGGTCTGATGCAATACTGGTGCCAGCATCATTGTCACTGTCAGACGCCATGGCGAAGGGCAGGGCCTCGAAGTTAGCGCTAATCTCTTCTGCCAGGTCGGTACACAGGTCAGCGGCATTGCGGTGGGCCTGCCCTTCGGCATAGGCAAACGGGCGGGAGCCAAAGTTAGCTCGAGTTTTGGTGTTCTGGAAAGGAGATCAAATAAAGGATTTGGAAGGACTTAGGTTTATTTTTATTTATTTTTTTTAACCCCCTAGGTACAATTCACTAAACATCAAATCAGAAGAATAGCCCGAGGTGCGGGCCAGCGTGAGAAACCAGGCAGGCGGCCGGCACGACTGTGTGCTGGCCCGGCCTCCCCTTGCCTCGTGCTCTCGCACTCCATGCTACTCAGCGCAGGGACCTCTCTTGTTTCCAACACCGTTCCTTCCTGCCTGACACAACTGCGTATGCCATTCTCTCCACCTGACACATTTCCTTCCTCTGACTTGGCCTAGTTAAGACCAGTTAACACTCCAGACCTGGCTCAAGCATCACTTCTTCAGGGTCAGAGGGACATGAGCGGATTTGCTTGCTATTTGCTTCCATAAAGTCTATGATTCTCACTCACAGCACTTATTAGCTTGTGATTATATATACGCACATACACATATTTGTGTGATTTACTTATGTCTAATTCCTCCAACTGATTATAACCCATGAAGACAGAGACCATATCTGTTTTGCTCCTTGTTATATATCCAGATCTTAGTGTGTGACATATAATGAGTGTTCGATAAATATTTGTTGAATGAATAGACTAGGCTGAGAAATGCTGCCTTAAATTATTGGCATCTCTAATTTATTCAACAAATAAGAGATGGTATCAGAGACATGGGTCAGATCCTATAGAATCTTGTAGCTCTTTTTTTTTTTTTTTTAAGATGGGGTCTTGATATGTTGCCCAGGCTGGAGTGCAGTGGCTATTTACAGGCATGATCACAGCACACTACAGCCTTTAACTCCTGGGCTCAAGTGATCCTGTGCCTCAGCCTCCTGAATAGCTGGAACTAGAGGTGTACACGTGACCACGCCTGGCATCTTGTAGGTCATTATAAAGACTTGGGCTTCACAATGAGTGACAACAGGAAGCCACTGCCTGGTTTACAGCAGAGGAGTGACATTCTAACTAACATTTTTAAAGGATCACTGTGGCTGCTGTGTGAAAAGACATGTAAAAGGGTAAGAACGGGGGCTGGGAGGGGAGTCGGGAATATGTGACAGGCTACCCGAGAGATGACGGTGGCCGAGCGAGGCTGTCAGTGGAGTAATGGGACAGTGGTCAGATTTTGGACACCTTCTGAAGGCAGAGCCAACAAGACTTGCTGACAGATTAGATGTGAAGCATCTAAAAAAAGAGGAGTCAAGGAGCACATCAAGGTTTTTGGCCGTAGCAAGAGAAAGCATGGAACTGCCATTTCCAGAAACGAGGAAGGCTAGGGAAGCAGCAGCTTTGGGTTCGGCGCTGAGTTTAGGTTCAGGCTTGGACATGTTAACTGTGACATGCCGATAAGACACTGCAAGATGTTGCCTAGCCTGCCAGGTAAATGGAGTTTAGGGAAAGGTCTGGGATGGAGATAGGAATTTGGGAGCCACCAGCAGGTAGCAGGTAAGAATGTTCCACAGAACACTGGATGTTAACAGGTGCTCCTCAAAAAAACCAAAGAGTTCCATGATTAAACACATGTTGGGTGCTGGGTTAAATACAGGTGAACTTCTGAATCTTTACTGAAGGCTCCCTCCAAGCTTCTGACATACTAAGCGACCCAAGAGGATCGTTTTCAAAATTTACAATTGACCACAGAATCATTTTACTGACATTTGAAGGAACGCTGGTGTTCCTTGTGGTGGTGTTTGGGAATGGTGGCTAAAAACCTACCAGCGCAGCTCAGCACTAAATTACTGGTAGAGCATCATCCAATCCAGGACTGCTGGGTCGGCGCAAAGGCAGGCCTGTACTCGGGCTGGCTTTGCCCTTCCTTTTGTCATTGTGCGTCACATACCGAGTACAACGCGGGCACATTTGGTGCCTTTCGTTTTTCCACCCCTGACAAGAACAAATGACTAAGGAGAATTTGTCTTCCTTTCCCAGCAAGGTAACTTGCCTTTTTCTGAATGTGAACCACTGGCCACATGCCACCAGAGACATCTTCGAGATACGGTGAGAGGCGCTGCCCACAGTACGTGAAGTACACCCGGCCCTTGGCTGGCTGCCCTGGAGGCGGCGGGGTCCCCTCTGTTCTCTCCCAGCCAATTCCTGCCACGTCACCTACAGCAGAGAACAGGAAGGAAACAACACATTTTCCCCTTTTTATTAAGTAAATTTCTAATTTGTAGCCAGTGTGGCAGCCTATGTATCACTATCTATTTATATCCTTAGTTACCTCTGAAAAGGACATGAAGTTACTGAATTTAAATAGATATAAAATAACACAATAGAAATAAACCATTTCAAAAAGATGTCAGAAATTATTTAGGAGGAAAATGCTGAGTGTCCGAGTTAAATTAGTTACTACAATTACACATTAAATTTAGCCTTTATTTTCCTGGTAGCCACGACAAAAATGGAAAACACTAAGTACAGTTTTTTAAATAGAGGAATACGAGTTTTCCTCTTTTGATACGTGGAGGATTACTCATGGCATAAAGGTAAAAGGGTAGCATCTTCTCTGTAAATTCATGGAAGATTCGGAAATGGCCTTAAAAAGACATTATTTAAAACTCCATCCACAATGTAAGCTAAAGGAAGACCATTAAATCCCATTGTATCAGGCTGGGCACGGTGGCTCACGCCTGTAATCCCAGCACTCTGGGAGGCTGAGGAGGGCGGATTGTTTGAGCTCAGGAGTTCGAGACCAGCCTGAGCAAGAGCAAGACCCCGACTCTACTAAAAAAAATAGAAAGAAATTATCTGGACAACCAAAAATATATAGAAAAAATTAGCCGGGCATGGTGGCGCATGCCTGTAGTCCCACCTACTCGGGAGGCTGAGGCAGGAGGATCGCTTGAGCCCAGGAGTCTGAGGTTGCTGTGAGCTAGGCTAATGCCACGGCACTCACTCTAGCCAGGGCAACAGAGTGAGACTCTGTCTCAAAAAAAAAAAAAAAATCCCATTGTATCCCCTTACTTGTAAGTATTTAAGGTGTTTTGCAAGAAGCTGAGATAGCACGAGCCAAGCTGCTTTCTGATGGGACGACTGGATAGCAGGACAGGACTTACGGAAGCAAGGGGAGCATGTCAGTCACATCGGCTCTCTTACACCGGCTGCCTCAGGCAAGCTGCTAGCACATGTGGCCTTATAACTCATCTGCTGTAAACTCTCCCATAAGTACATCAAGTTCTACGGTTCTGTTTTGATCAGAGTCTCCTATGGCTTAGATACCACTGGAATGGGAGCTTCCGAGTGGCTGGGGCCTTGTCATTGTTCACCATGGCATTCCCAGGGCCTAGAGGAGGGCCTAGCAGGTAGGAGATGCTCAGCAGTTATCTGTTGATGAACGGACCCCCCCACATGTTGGTACAAAGGTTGAGATTCTGTTGTAAAAATTGGGTTCCAGTTCCTATTCTACGCAGATACGTTTCTCTAAGAAAAAGGTAGCCTGTGCACCCAAGGTCCAAAATCTTTTCAAAGACCAAAATTGCTAAAACCAAACAACAAACGACAGCAAAAAGCAAATAAAAACCCTGATAATGCTTCCCGTTCCCTCCCCACACACCCTTTTGTGCCTAAAATGCTTAGGTAAGTGCTCCACTGAGAGGTCAGAGTTCTGTTCCACAAAGCGAGAGAGAAACAACTTTGCCCTGACATAATTTCCAAGCCACAGCTTGACCGTGAGTGAAGACACTATGTTCCCAGGAAAAGTGCAACTTAACAAGCAGCTCCCTCCAGGATAAGTGATGGCAAAGTACCCCTTAGGCAGCTATAAGAGGTTACTTAGCGGACGGAGTGACTTTGTGTTCCCCATCTCAACGTTCCAGATCATCTAACACACATAGCAATTTAAGTTTTATCAGAGATGAAGCTAAGATGTATTATCTGAAAATAAGTAGCCAGTGTATTTGGCCACTTCTAACGTCAAAAGGACGATTCTGCTATTTTGCTACTGTTGGAGCGGTCAGGACCAATCCCAGTTCAGCTACTGTGCAGATCAAGTTATTTATATGGAGGCTAAAAAGAAGAGAGGATAGATTTTTTTTTTTTTTACTGAGTTGACTGTCTATGTGACTGAAACTGTCAGGCAGAATATATGTCACAGTTGGACAAGATGTTCAGGCTATTGAGAACAAAGCCTACAGCCTGTATGTATCAATAATGCATTTCTCGAGCTAGTGGTAGAATTCTTTTTGTTGAAGTTATTTATCTGCTCATTACCAAATAGCTGATGAAAGACTAAACTTCAGAGAGATGCAAAATCTCAGAGTTTTCTAATGATGGAGGAACAAAAGCAAACCTGACTCCTGAGATACCAAATGGAGACTCCAATGGCAACAGCTCAGAAAGTGAAGGGTTTAGTGTCAACTACAGGGCAGCAATGACAAGTATTTGGTGTTCCCCAAAGGACAAACTGCCCATTTCCAGTTGTCAAATTTATTTAACTTTAACCTATTTAGACCCAAGAGAAAGTTACAGGGTAAAAGAGCTCCCACCACACTCACCGGGAGAGAGAGTCACGTCTAAGCGAACGCTCTTCCACTGCAACAAACTGGAGCCGTTGTAGTGCACAGCTCGGCCGTTGCTATGAAAAGCACAAAGAAGGGAGGTCAAAGACAAGACTAACTCGCCAACACAGAGGCAGGCAGGGAGTGATGGGGGGCGGGGGTTCAGTAGCTTGAGAATAATCAGAAATCCTAGGAGCTATTCTATCTCCTGAAACATGAATATATTATTTCCAACTGGTATTTTCCACATTTTGAGATTATTATATTACTTTAGTATTAAATTACCCACACCAGTATTTCCCAAATGATATTCATAGAATAAAGTGATATGGGATTTGGGAAATAAACAGGTTTTTTATTACAGGACAAGTAGGAAGGAATCTTGCTAATGTGCACTGTAAATCTCTAAGAAAGAAAAATAATATTAATACTCTCCTCTCCCCAAACTTATTTGACAATGGAATTCTATTTTGGCTTCCTGAACACCTAGAAACACCTTGTGGGGAGCTACTGTCTACCGTTCTCTGGCATTTCGATCTACTTTTTTAAGGAAAAGCAATCGTAGCCACTTACTTATGGAAAAGACAAGTGCCCACTGGATTAGTCCAAGCCCCATCCCGTTTCTCTGCTTCTGTAGCGAAGCCAAAGGAAACTATTGGTCCAGTGTCATCATCGGTATCTCCATAGGAAACAATTTCGATTTCCCAGTAAAAAGATGGGGCCTGAAGAGACACCAGAAAAGGGCGACAATCAGAGGGCTCGGCCTGGGCCTCAGGACCTGCTTTTTCTTTCAAATTTGAAGGAAAGAGGCGAAGGACAGCGTGTCATGTGACGTCTCACCTGAACAGGCAGCGGTGACGTGGCGTAGATGAAAGTGCCCCGGGGCAGACCCCCCCCAGCGCTGGGGTCGGCCAGGAAGGTGACGGAGGTGAGGTGAGACGAGAACATGCAGGCTCGGACAGGGGGGAACACTCGAGACGGGCTCCACGTGATCTCTTTGGGCTACATGGGGGATAAAAAACATCATCAGTAGAACTGCCAATGTCAATTCCTTTGCCCTTTCAAAAAAGAAAAACAATTCTTATCTGATGGTATTAAAATATAGGCATATATGCATTTTAAATGCATTTTTTTCCAAAGGGAACTTTTATTTTTTAAAAAAAGACAGTTTCCCTCCCGATGTCCAATCGTGTTCCCTAGAAATGATCACTGTTTTAACTGTTAATTCTGATACTTAACCTCTACATTTCTCTTTTGCACGCTCGTAATACTATTTTTACTATCCCTGTAAGACATTATTTATCTTTCCTTACAAGCGAGGTGTGAATTGTTACATATGTCCCCTCTTTACACACGTGTGCAAACGCACCATGCCCCCACCCTCTCACAGGCCCCATGTAGCTACAGGACAAATTTTAGTTCAGTCCATAACCAGAAGCTATATTCCTATTCCTATGACTTCATGTTCGGCTCAAAGCTAAACAGGGGTACCACGGTGACACTTCCCTTTTTTTATTTTTCTGGTTAGCTGCCTCACTTTCAAAATTTTTCATAAAATTTTCAAGCTTCTCTATCAGACAAAAGGATATCTTTTTAACTCGATTTTACTTTCTTTTCCCAAAGAAAGAATTGGAAGACGCTTGCAGAGATGCAGAGATTTAGCTTCAAAGACCTATGTCAGATCACCACAACAGTGATAGCTGAAGACCACATAGATGCCTGACGACAAAAGCCTGCGTGAATAAACTGAGGCAGGAGAATGCGCTGGACACTAAGGTTCTGTTGGTTGACATGGAAAGGGATTCACCATCTACTGAGAGGAAAAAGCTGAATACAGGGGCTGGGCACGGTGGCTCATGCCTGTAATCCTAGCACTCTGGGAGGCTGAGGTGGGTGGATCATTTGAGCTCAAGAGTTCGAGACCAGCCTGAGCAAGA